GATGACAGTTGATTCATATGAGCGCGGGACAATGCATCGGCAACAACGTTGTTAGGACCGTCGATATAACGAACATCAACACAAAACTGTGAAAGATAGTCCAGATGACGCGTTTCTCGGGGTGAGTAACGGTCTGAGGAAGAACGGAAGGCATACACCAGTGGCTTGTGATCTGTCAAGAGAATGAAACGACGTCCTTCTAAAAGGTGACGGAAATGTTTCACAGCCAAGTACATGGCGAGCAGTTCACGACCAAAGGTGCTGTACCTGACCTGAGCAGGTTGAAGCTTCCGTGAGAAAAAAGACAGTGGTTGAAATTCGTTATCAACTAACTGTTGCAAAACTGCACCGACAGCAGAACTTGAAGCATCCGTCTTAAGGACAAGTGTAGCGTCCTCAGTGGTGTTCAAGTGATGGAGAGAGGTGACCTCACTGAACTTCTGCTTAACGGCCGTGAAAGCGGCTTCAACTTCTGGGGTTATCGTAAACGTCTTTGAGTTTCCTTTCAGTAAGTCGGTAAGCGGGTGAAGTAAATCAGCACAGTTGGGAATGAATCTGCCGTAGTAGTTGATCATACCGAGGAATCGGCGTAGGCTTCGGACAGATTGTGGCATCGGGTAGTCGAGGATTGCTTGAGATTTATCCGGGAGGGGTTTAATACCTTCACCATCGATCTTGTGACCGAGAAATTCGACGGTTGGCTGACCAAATTTGCATTTGTCCGGGTTGATGTTTATCCCGTGGTTTTCAAAGCGTTCGAAAACCATTCGGAGGTGTGATAAATGCTCGTCGGGTGTGGCGCTTGCGATCAAGACATCGTCAATGTAAACGTAGACGAAATCAAGGCCACGGAGGACCTGATCCATAAAGCGTTGGAAAGACTGTGCTGCGTTCCGGAGGCCGAAAGGCATACGAAGAAATTCGTAAAGGCCGAATGGAGTGATCACGGCAGTTTTTGCGATGTCTTCCTCCGCCATTGGAATTTGATGGTAAGCTCTGACAAGATCGAGTTTGGTAAAGATTGACTTTCCAGCTAGTCCAAGGGAGAAATCGTGGATATGTGGGATAGGATACCTATCCGGAACAGTGACGTTGTTAAGAGCACGGTAGTCACCGCATGGTCGCCAATCGCCTGACTTTTTAGACACCAGATGGAGAGGTGATGCCCAGCAGCTGTTTGAAGGACGAATAATGCCGAGATCAAGCATGTGTTGGAATTCCTTTTTAGCTGCCTGGAGTTTGTCAGGACGCAAGCGTCGAGCTTTAGCAGTTACAGGCGGACCGGTTGTAACGATGTGATGGCGTACATCGTGTTTAGGATCGGAAGTGTCGTTACTTGCTCGAATTAGGGACGGAAATTGTCGGAGCAATGAAGAATACTGTGAGTCGTCAGGGATGAGGATGCGAAGCCCGAGAGAATTGACTGAGGCAAGTTTGCAGGGTATGCTTAAAGACGTAGTATCGTCTCGCAATTTCCCACAACGTAGGTCGACCACAAGACCGAACTTGCTGAGGAAGTCGATTCCGATAATGGGCTTTTGCACATCGGCGATGGTAAAAAGGAAAGGGAAGTTACGCCGTAATCCGAGACTCAAAGTAAGTAATTTCTGGCCGTAGGTCGCGATTTTAGTCTGATTAGCTGCCGTAAGCATTGGACCCGCTGGTTGCAGGGGGCGTTTTTCCAGAGAACGGGGTAGAACGCTGACTTCTGCACCAGTATCAACCAAGAAGTGAAGTTTGGTTGTGGAGTCAAATACATACAACAGGCGACTAATAACCTGGCCAGCGACAGCCGCCGCCATTACTGGCTGGCCATGTGGTTTCCCGACGTAGGAGTTGAAAAGGCTTTGGGGTGTTTACACCCTGGACGGCACTTACGCGCTGCGTCTCCGAAGCGGTGGTGATAATAACAATAGCGGTGAGACTTCCGTGTACGAGAGCTGCTAGACCGTCTGGATCGAGAAACGGATCGTCGCGAAGGAACGCGGTCGCGTCTGAGATGGGACAAGGTGAGCTCTAAGTTAGAAAGCCTCTCGCTGATTGTATCAAGTAGCGTGGTTCTGGAGGGGCTGCCGGAGCTAGTCTCTGTGACGTGTGATACCGACGTTCTAATGAAGCGTTCGTGAACCTTATCGGCAGCTTCTGCCAGTTTGTCTAGCGGAAGATCGTCGGCAAGCACAGCTAAAATAGCCGTGGTATTCGCAGGAAGACAATTACTCCACAACTGGCGGAGAACGGAATCATCCAGTGCGGAAGAACCGACGAGGGAACGCATGTGTCGGAGTAACTGAGATGGCGTTCTATCTCCAAGTTCAACACCAGAGAGTAACTGCTGAAGGCGTGATTCGTCTGAGGCTGTAGTGCGCTTTAATATAGCTGCCTTAAGTTTATCATAGGGGGACTCTAGGGGCATAGGGTCAAGAATGTCGATGACCTCAGAGGCGATGTTGGACGGTAAATGAGCAGTCACATATGAAAACATTGTGGATTGGGATGTAATCTTACGAAAACGGAAAACAGCTTCCACTTGAACAAACCAAACACGTGGGTTAGAAACGTCAAATGAAGGCAAAACGAGTCCAAGAGAATGTTCCGACGCATTAATGGCAGGCGCGTGATCAGACATTGTAAGTTAAAAAAGAAAAATATACACAAAATGTTGAATAAAAAATGCGGGGTCACCAATTATATGGAGGAACCGGTAAAGGAGAATACCAAGTCAGTCAGGTTTACCTCACATATAAAGTATCCTGATGCACCTTAGCGTCGGACGGCCGTAAATCCCGAGGTATGCCGAAATGTACGTGTACGTAGAGTCCGATCGTGAACCAAGCAGGCAGCGATGCGCACAATCACAACAATCCAGCGGCAACCAAGGAAGAACCACGGAAGGCGAGCTCGTAACCAAGTGTATGTATATACAGTTAATTAAAACAAAGCTGTACAACAACTGCAGCGAAATAGGTAAACGTGAAAATGCAAAATAAGCAAATTATTTACAATCGCTACAATCGCGACTGGATTGAAAAGTTGCAACTCCTCGATGTTCCCTTGAATCAGATCTGCAACCGAGTTCGAGCAAGTCCAGACCCAGCTGCAAAGTCCGTTGAAGACATGACACGTACCCTAAAGCGAAAATTTGCTTCTGTCTTTCAGGATGGCTTAGGCCACTGTACGAAATTCAAGGCAACTCTGAACTTGCGACAAGGTGCTAAACCAGTTTTCAAGGCTAAAAGACCGGTACCATATGCAGCCATGTCAACCGTTGAACAAGAGCTCGATCGACTGGAAAGTGCCGGGGTCATCACAGCCGTAAACTACTCATTATGGGCCGCACCTATTGTCGCAGTGAAGAAAGCAAATGGCAAGGTACGCGTCTGTGCTGATTTTTCAACTGGCCTCAACGCCGCGCTGGACGACCATTAGTATCCCTTACCTGTACCGGAGGATATCTTTGCAGAGCTGAATGGTGGTAAGTACTTTGCAAAGCTTGATCTATCCGATGCTTATCTGCAAGTGGATGTTGACGTGGTCTCGAGGGAGTTGTTGACGATCAACACTCTTCGTGGGCTATTTCAATACAACCGCTTGCCATTTGGTGTGAAAACGGCTCCAGCCATCTTCCAACAGTTGATGGACACCATGCTAGCGGGCGTTTCTGGAACCGCTGCATATCTGGACGATATCATAGTAATGGGTCGAACACCGGAAGAACTCTTCAACCGCTTGGATGAAGTGTTTGGTTGCATACAGTCGTATGGCTTCCGGATCCGTGAGGATAAATGCACTTTTTCACGCCGCTCATCAAATACCTCGGGTTTATCCTCGAAAAGGATGGACGTCGACCAGACCCGGAAAACATCGAAGCCATTAGAAAAATGCCTCCACCCACAGATCTACAGTCTCTGCGTTCCTTTTGTGGGCTCGTCAGCCACTACAGCGCATTTTCGCCTGAGATGCACCGCTTGCGTGCCCCGTTAAACAAGCTACTAGCCAAAGGACAACCTTGGAACTGGACAGCAGAATGTCAGAATGCCTTCGAACGCGTCAAATCACTGTTGTCTTCAAACTTGCTTTTGACACATTTCGACCCCTCCAAAGAGATCGTCCTAACCACAGATGCATCAAGCCATGGGATTGGTGCAGTAATTGCACACACGTACACCGATGGATCTCAAAAAGCAATCGCCCATGCAGCCAGAACCCTTACAAAGGCCGAGAAGAACTACAGTCAGATTGAGAAAGAAGCATTGGCCATAGTGTACGCGGTTAAGAAATTCCACAAAATGCCATACGGCCGCCGCTTCAAGCTTCTGACAGATCACAAACCCTTGCTCGCTATCTTTGGTTCGAAAAAGGGCATCCCGGCCTACACCGCCAACAGGCTACAACGTTGGGCTCTTACCTTAGTGGGGTATGATTTCGAGATCCAATATCAGTCGACAGTTTCCATTGGCCAAGCAGATGCACTGTCACGCCTAATTGATACCCGTCAGCAAGAACATGAAGACACAATCATTGCCTCGGTGGAGATTGAACCAGACGTCAACTTTCTGGTAACTGATACACTGCACTGTCTACCAGTTACCGCAGAAGCTGTACGGACCGAAACACTTCGGGACCCAATACTCAAGAAGGTTACTCAGTTTCACAAAACAAGTTGGCCACGTTCATGTCCATCTGCCGAGTTGCAACAGCATTTTCAGAGGAGACACTCACTCTCTATTGTAAACGATTGCATACTATTTTCGGAAAGAGTGGTCATCCCCAAGGCACTTCAGGAGCGCCTTATTCGACAGTTCCACGCCGGGCATCCTTTAATCAACCGGATGAAGGCGCTTGCCCGCAGTTATGTATACTGGCCCTTAATGGACAAAAAGTTGGAAGAAATAGCCAGACGCTGCCAAAAATGTGCCAATGTCTTGAAAGCACCACCGAAAGCAGAACTCTGTTCATGGCCATTGGGAAACATCCGGCGCTGAGTGTCTGGTCGCTTCTTACTCACTTCCGTCCTTCCCCTCATTCTTGTGTTTAATTAAAAGTGCACCTCAACGGTCACGATGCTCAAGAGCGGTGATAATCCAGCTCTAGACAATGACTGGAAAGCTTCATTAAAGTTGCCGGATAAAGACCTCCGCATAAAGACCGCAGATGTAACTGCTGTCAAAGGAACAAGCTTCGAGGATTTTTGCTTGAAACGTGATTTGCTCAAAGGCATATATGAGAAGGGCTGGGAATGTCCCTCTCCCATCCAAGAATCCAGTATTCCCGTGGCTCTGACTCGTCGCGATATTATGGCTCGAGCGAAAAATGGCACTGGCAAAACTGGAGCGTATTCGGTGCCGCTTTTGGATTCTATTGATCCGAATCTCAACAAAATTCAGGGAATGATTCTTGTACCTACTCGCGAACTCGCCAGGTAAAAGAGTATTTCATGGAGATGACCAAGGTAGACTGTGGAGCCGGTCGGAAATCTTGGAAGTCCGACTATCTGATATGACAGGGGCAATCAGGCACCAGCTTAACTTTCGTGCCAGGTTACATGAATATGAAATATTGAAGAGCAGAATGCTAATAATGTACAGAAAAGGATCTGGCTTCTCATACTACCAATCTGTCAGTGTTGACATTAGCAGATGACGAACGTTCAAGTCTGATAATAGCTAAGAGATGGTAAGGGCCAAGATGAGGTGAAGTGGAATGACAAAAACCTCGGTCACATCTGCTGTTTCACCAAAGGAATAGTTAACCATCAGGAATATTATGACATGAGTACAGAGGTGGAGTATTTTTCAACAAAGGCAAGGCAAAATAGGAAATAAGATGATCAAGAACTAGAGCAGGACGGTTAGCAGAGCCAGTGAAACGAACTCAACCGAAACCTAAAAACGCTTGGCAACCCGATAGCACAGGTGTGGCAAATAAAATACTAAAATAAAACGACAGATAAGCAAGGTCAGGAGTAAATGTCCAAGTTGAGATCTAAGTCGAGCAGCATTTGGAACGCAGTAGACAGGAGGCTTGACTTTAAAGTTCTATGGGGTCCCTCTCATAAATATCGTCTAGAATTGTAGATTCGCCTAGTATACGTAATACCTCCTTTACGTTGAGGTGGTTGACTACTTGAACCCGAAATATATGCTTGGTGATATTGCATCTAATGGATTCAGGTAGCTTATTCCATAAGATTGTACACCTTTTGAGAAAGAATTTGGCTCGCAACCATGTACGCACTCTAGGGAAGCAAAAGCTGGATGGTGTATTTCTAGTTCGATATTGATGGAAAGTGACAAACTGGAAAGTATCTGGCTCCCCAGAACAAGTATGCGCAAAAGCAAACAGGAAGATAAGGTTAATCTTATTTCTTCTCAACCATAGTATTTTTGGCTTCAGAAGTTTACACCGTTGTTGCTAATTCTAGGATCCAAAAACTAGTAACCATTTGATAAAAATCGTTGTACTTTTTCAAGATTGATTTTGTCGTACATGGTTAAATTTATGAACACTGATGGCAAGATTCTAAGACTGGACGCGCATATGCTTTATACATAGCTAGCCCGGAGATTTTTAATCATAACGTATTGAAAATACATGCTATGATAAATCTCGCTTTGGCAGTGACATGATGTACCTGTTCGGAGAAATTAAAATGGCATTAGTAGCGAACTCCGAGGTCGCGAATCGTTGTGCAGCAGGCGATTGGCTTGTCATCTAGCTTCACTACGTCATTATTAATTTTGAATATGTAGAATATGGCTTGACATTTGCCAAAAGAGAATGTCATTCTCCTCTCTCGGCACCACCGCTGAAGGGCAATGAGCTCCATCTCTATTGTTTGAGCACCGTTTGTTTCATTTATGCTATCAAAAGCGAACATAACTTTGAAATCATCCGCAGAAAGATAGAGTCTGCCATGTCAGAAGATTCGGAAGATGTGATTTATGAATAGTGGGAATAGCAGTGGCCAAAAAGGCTTCCCTGTATGACGCCGCTGGTTACTGTTATATGTGAAGATGCTCAGTTTCCCACTCTGACACAATGGGTGCGTGTAGACAAGAAAGCTGACAGCCATTCTAGTAATGGGTTGACAAACCCATAAGATGGTAACTTTGTAAGAAGTTCGGCATGGGGGTCGAATGCTTTTTCCATGTCTAAGAAGAGAATAAACATCGACCGCCCAGAGTCAGCCAACTTGGTTACGTAGTCCAGAAATTCAACTAGGATAGTTTGACATGAACTACCACGGAGTAATGCATGTTTCGATCTATCGAACAGATTTATGAATCAAGAAACTTCATGAATCTAAACTTTGCTTATTCTCTCCATGACACGAGTCATGGAACGTGCCACAGTAGAAGCACTGGTAGGTTACATAGAGAACTACAGCAGCATTTGAACAGAGCAGCTTGGATTTCGCTAAAGCCAACTCTGATACTTGCTCTCTCCATTTGAACTGAAACTGTCCCTTCCCGTTTTGGGATAACGCGGTCTAATTTACTTCTCAAAGGCAGTCAACCACATAAATCATCGCATTGTTCTTCCTAACATTCTGATCCATGGAAACGTTGATATCATGGTAGGATGAATGGATCTTCTATTAAACACGTTCGAATAAGAATTTAGGACAACATATGAGACCCAACTGTATTTCGTTTCGGAGTGCAGCGGCGCTCATTACCATGTCTATATGTTTTCGTTATTTTAACCCTATCCAATTTTTTTAACTTTGCGGGTGATCTTTAGGAATGACTCGACATCAAGTCAGGGAGTGACCCCGTGTCACTGCAAGACGTGCTCAACAAGTCATAAAAGTGGACGAATCAGAAGCTGCTTCATTTCAATTTGCTTAAGTGTATAACATTCAGCGTTTACCATAAGTGCACTCATAAGCACCAGCACGGGTTAATAATGTGCAGCGCACAAGTCGATTGTTGCTGCTTACATCAGGTTAAGAAGGCAACATGAAATCTAACTAACAACACTGCCAAATATTGAGCGTATTAGAGTGGTATGATCATTCTATCTACTTCCGCTATCCATCGCCCTTACTAGGCCTCATTCAGCTTGGGCCATCAACGCCAAGCTGCGTAGCCGCGTAGCCGCGTAGCCAGAAGGCGGCGGTCCGCTGCGGGAAGCATGTGACAAGGGGGTTACGTTTTTAGTACAGATGATTTTTCGATAATAAGTGTAAACAAACACTTTCGGATGGGCCGCTTTTGGAATATCAGAATATTGTTTTGAATACTAAAAAGCACATTTGTGTCACAAGTCACACCTACCTGTAGTATTGTTCTTCTAGCCTTTGCCCATATCCTTCCAGTGTACCGGCTTCGGCATTAGATCTACTAAAATTGGAACGATACACAGAATGTGATCATGACCGCTGCACAAGGATGACACGCAAAATCGTGAGGTGTTCCACATTTTGTTGATCAGCTAGCCTACTGTGTAAGGTAGAAACATTATGCCGACTAGCAGAAAGCAAATAAATGCGAATCCAAAAAGGCTTCAGTAGAACGGTTGACGTGGGTCCGCTGAATGTGACTGATTATTCACATTTGGTTTGCCTTGCTCACGCTGTTTAAGATAATATCATCCAAAATCTGCAACTCTTTCCCAACAACAAGTGAGGGCTCGAAACAGCTCCATTGATGTTATCTGGTTTTGCATGTATCGTTCACCTAGTCCAAAAGTGCGAGCGGTTAACAGAAGAAGTTTGACAACGAACGACCGCTAATGATTATATCACTGGAAGCAATTATGCATCATGATAAAACAGGGACTTCAGAGTGAAGCATTAATGCGAAATTTTTCCTTTGATCGAACCATGATTGTCAAGGTCACCTTTGCCGTTATTTTTTTCAAGTTTGGAAGAACGTCAGGCGAAAATAGACCCTAGCTCTGATAGACAAGCGGTACACAGGACCCCGAGTATCAGTCACCATTGTATCACAACTTGTATCATTAACAAGGATGAAACAGCCGAACCCGAGTCTATTGCATCTGAGACCCAAGGGTCTCTGGTCGAGTTCAACTCCCCTGAGACTCCAGCCACATATGCAGAGATGGCTACAAAATCCCTTTGGATACTACCTTTAATGTCCCTTCTGTTGAGAAAAACCGCTAAGGCCATTGGAGCTATAAACAGTGCACCATAATCACTTAGCATAAAGCCAGGCCCAACGATCACCCGACATTGCAGTTCAACAAAAAAGGGGCTCCATTAATGACTCCCCGACTGTAGTGGGCACCAATGTCCCCGAATCTACCGCCATCACATGCGTGGTAAATTGTCTGACGATCAAGACAAGTAGAACTCACTGTACGCTTTAATACACGTAACAACCAAACCCTCAAACCTAGTGAGAGATACTCGTCACCAGATCTCTGCATCCTATGGGAACCCAGAATTACTAATGTAACACTTGGATCGGCTATTGATGTAGCAAACATTTTGCTCTCTGCAAGTGCACAAAAACACAGACCTTGTAAATAAATAGAATGTATATTCTCGATTACGCGAGAAACCTACACAGGCACGATCATGCTAAGAGTACAAAATTGGGATCAGTTAAATTGCAATGGAACATAGGAGTTGGTCGTTACTAGAGGGGACGGGGTGCACGGTCCTTGTGGCCGTGTTAGGCTCGAAGAGTGGTTCCATGCACTCAGTGTGGAGCGGACTACGGTCCAGCCACCGCCTTGTGTGCGCTTGATTTCTCAAGTACAGTGTGCTTGTGTTTTCCTATGAAGGAGGGTGGACCGGCTCCGTTGATGAAACGTGGCTCCCATCCACATGCCTCCCGGTCTTATTCCTTCGTGTTTACACTGGATATGAGGCGTGTGGTTGGAGCTGTGGGTGGTGCGGCGCAAGCCACTCGTGGTCCCTCTGTAGGCGCAGGCATCCTGTGGCTGGCCACGGTGACAGGCAAATCCAAAACCAGATGCCGCCAACCATGCGTGTACAGTCATGTTTATGGCATTTGTAATTGCTTTCATCCATTTTTGATCTTGCCGCCAGTACTAAAGGGGTGTTTGGTGTTTGTGGAAATGAAGCGGTTGTCCGGATAAGCAAAGGGGTGACCTTCGTTGGTGGCGAGTCACAACCGTCACTTCACAGTGTTGTTAGCTAGACGTTTATGGTTTCTTATAGGGAGGACGCTTGCCACTCGAAAACCCACCATGCCCTGGAACACTGCCGCCGAACTATTTGCGGGTACGGGGTAAACCAGAACCACCAAGCTGCTACAACGATGTTGTTCGGCTGTACAGCCTTATGTAAGGTACGTATCTATCTTGAAGTGACTTGGAGCAAGTGACGATCGAAAAGAAACCTCACTGATAGACTTAGCAAGCTGGATTCTCTAAGCACCAGCTTTATTTATGGCGTGTCAGAACTTGCTATTCACGATAGTCATGAGGT